ATATATATCTATATAGTTCTCGCTGCCGCTAAACAAAGTTCGTGAAAGGTCGTTCTGACGTGACCCGTAATTGGATGTCCTCAGATCTTTGTGCAGCGGCAGCGAGGACTAAGATTTGATTTTAATGAGATTGAACCTATGAAAACTAACTCAGTACACAGAAATTTTAAATAATTCAGGCACTTGTAGTGACCAGATAAAACAACACATAATGCATGAGATAATATATAAATACTGGGAACATCATTGTAAAATGGCAAATGCACCTGTGATTGTATAGCGTTAAAGGATCACCCACAGAGAAAGAAAGTATTAAAAATCCTAAAGATATCCTATCTACAACGTTGATCTCAAAGCTGCCGTGAACGGGGATTTCACGTTTATTGAAAAGCAGGGAGAAAAAAATAATTATTAAATACACTTTCACAGAACGTTTTGACCAGCCCCCATATATATCTATAGATGATCCAACAACCATAAAGGACACATATGGTTTGTGGGGAATGGAGATATGTTTGCATGATCCAGCAGCCTGTCTGACACATAATATGTGTATGGATGTCGCTATATATATTTATTCAGCAGTTGTCAAGGAAGTATGTAGGTCGGGAGTTTCTTAATGATTTTTCGAGCCCGTCGCAGTACGTTAATGTCTGACTTGTGTTTATGCTCATACGCTACTGCCTAGAAGTTCATTCCCCTTACACGCATCGGCAACGCGTAACACAACCCGTGTGCACCCTCTGGTCACTCGTGTGGAACCGGTGGAATAGATGTCAAGTGAAGCAGCCATGTTACATGCAGCCCATCAAGCTGGTAAAAATCTCGTCGCAACATGGCTGAAACATTGCTGGTGTGATGTAACATCTAAGTTGACTCCCAGACAATATACATTTCGCGAGAGCACACACTGACATTTTCCCACATGGTCTTTTCCCCATACTGAATATATAAATAAGTTTTATTACAATTGTATTTAAACTTTACGAACTATGATAATATGTATGCTAAAATTCATCATCACTTGTCAAGTTCACCAAAAAGTCACAGACTGGAAGGTCACAGGTAAACACTGATTCTAACAAAGTCTGATTGTCTTTGACACTGATGTTTATGCTCACTTTGTCACCACACTGCAGGGGATTCATGCCAAAAACGCTCACAGTTGTTAGTGATTTTACGAATATCCATTAAAACCCATGACAATCTCATTAAAATCAGATCCAAGTTCTCGCTGCCGCTAAACAAAGTTCGCGAAAGGTCGTTCTGACGTGACCCGTAATTGGAAGTCCTCATATCTTTGTTTAGCGGCAGCGAGGACTAAGATTTGATTTTAATGAGATTGAACCTATGAAAACTAACTCAGTTCACTGAAATTTTAAATAATTAAGGCATTGGTAGTGACTAGTTAAAACAATACATAATGCATGAGATAATATATAAATACTGGGAACATCATTGTAAAATAGGAAATGCACCTGTGATTGTCTAGCGGGGGACACCAGAAATGGGGTTCACACATTGTACCCATGTCGGGAATCGAACCCGAGTCTTCGGCCTGACGAGCGAACGTTTTAACCACTAGGTTACCCGACCGCCCCTATAAGGATAAAGATAGTATCCTATAAGGATGAGATAGTACATAAATACTGGGAACTTCATTGTAAAATGGCAAATGCACCTGTGATTGTCTAGCGTTAAAGGATCACCCACAGAGAAAGAAAGGATTAAAAATCCTAAAGATATCCTCTCTACACGGTTTAAGTAGTCACAACCAATTTACTCTAATAATAAGCTGTTACCTTTGGTATGACTCGTATAGGCAAATATTAAAAAGACAATTTCCGCTAACCACAAACACAAACACTTGATTAATTGTGAACATTCACTAACCCGCGACAATCGTGTCAACTCTGGGGTACCCGTAGAATGAACGCGTAAATAAATTCGCTACTGTTCTACTGTCGGCTAGTCACAATGGACTCTAGTGGAATGGTAAATGCAAAGACGTCCAGCAACAGGACACTAATGTAACGGGGTTTAATCAGACGAAGTCGATTATCCAATGACCGGACACGGGTAAGTTAATCCCCCTGGTCGACCTCGTCAGATTGGGCAAATAAAGGCTTAGCGGTACAATAGACCATGTCGCATGTTGTTGTAAGCCGTTAGTCCGGATTACACACATCACTAAATTGTGGCATTTCTGATTTGTATTTACCATTTTATCCATTCTACCATTATCATATCACAGTTATGCACACAAATATATATTTATATATATATATAGTAATAATTAAATAAGTGCTGTGTTCAATCTTACTCCACTTATTTAATTATTACTATATTGTGCCTGGGAGTTAGAACGTTACTGTGCTTAATATATATATATATATATATATATATATATATATATATATATATATATATATACAAAAATGAGGGAAATGTTCACTCGGTGTACATGTAATATATAATAAAATAATAAAGTCCACGTTAGTCCATCATCTTCTTTATATCAGTTTCATACAACCCTTATAAAGAAGATGATGGACTAACGCGGACTTTATTATTTTATATATATATATATATATATATATATATATATATATATATATATATATCACAGTAAAGTTCTAACTCTCTCTCTATATATATTTATATGCGATTGACTGTAAGATATTATACAATCACTAAATACACCACCCTTAATTTTCTAAATATAGTTGTATGGCATGTGAAGCTGACTTTGCGAAAAATGCAATGTCTATGTTTCCTGCAGCAAGGTCACGCTTTAACGATGCCAGGCGGGTGTCGATCTCTCTGTATTTTCTTCTCCTCTTTAGTTTTTCTTTCCTGCTTCGACCTGAATGTGTTTCGTCTTTGTGGAGTTCTGGATGCTGGCGATGTAGTGTATGGCTTCGAAAATGATAGGATGGGCTTTGGACACTAATGTCTTTAGTTTGTTATGGTAACCCTCCAAGTGGTTATTCGTACGTGGTCCGGAGTTGTCGTGGCGATTCCATTCTTGGAGCTGAAGATTTCCCTCTTTCCAAAAGCTAGTTACGTACGATCTTCCACGCCATCATCCATCAGGAGAAAGTCCTTGTGTGAAAGTGTTACTTGTAACTCCTGAGGCAACTCAAGTTCTTGTCGTGGATGGCGGTAGAGGGGGTAGGACAGACCGACGGGGCTCTATACAGGCTGGATCTGCATGATTTGAAAGTAGGGAGGGATGCTACTTCGGGTGCTGCACTGAAGGCCTTCATGTCTTCATCATACAAGGTTGTGGTCATGGTTGTGTTTTATCTTACTATTCATTTGATCTTTTTGTCAAATTCAACTGAAACCGGGTCCCGTGTTACACGCACGCGTTCGTCACTCGTTGCACACGCGTGCTCAACGGGTTGCATACGCGCTGCACACCCATTGCACATGCGTGTTCAACGGGTGCTCAAGCCGTGTGCAAACCCGTTGAGCATCCATGTCATATGCGTGTTACACGCGTTCTCAACGCGTATAAGGTGAATTAACCTCTAGGCAGTAGTGTATGGCACAATGTACATGTGTTAACGCATACGGACCTCGTGTAACCGTGAAGAGATCACATTATAACGTGTGAAAGTGGTAAAATCTATCAATCTAACATTGTGATGAATGGCAACGCTTTAATATCGAATTGGATCCCAATTAGATGCTTATCGAATGTAATAAGTTTCTGATTCATGTGTACTGTACCTGGTTACCCAACTAGCTTGAGGTGACAGCAACAAGCTTACTATTACGAACGTGAATGTCAACGTGAAAAGAACTGGGTCATTCATGAATAATAAATACTCTTTCTTTATGTGATCCCTGGATGTTTCAATTCAGCATTAACCCTGGATGTTTCACGTCAGCATTAACCCTGGATGTTTCAAGTCAGCATTAACCCTGGAGGTTTCAATTCAGCATTAACCCTGAAGGTTTCAAGTCAGCATTAACCCTGGTTGTTTCAAGTCAGCTTTAACCCTGGAGGTTTCAAGTCAGCTTTAACCCTGGAGGTTTCAATTCAGCATTAACCCTGAATGTTTCAATTCAGCATTAACCCCGGATGTTTCAAGTCAGCATTAACCCCGGTTGTTTCAAGTCAGCATTAACCCTGGATGTTTAATTCAGCATTAACCCTGGATGTTTCAATTCAGCATTAACCCTGGTTGCTTCAATTCAGCATTAACCCTGGAGGGTTCAAGGCAGCATTAACAACGGATGTTTCAATTCAGCATTAACCCTAGAGGTTTCAATTCAGCATTAACCCTGGAAGTTTCAAATCATCATAACAACTCCACGTCGGTAACATATGTATCATCAACAAAAGTATGTCCCGTAGCTTTCATACAACTCGCTTATATTTTCATACACCTCTCTATGAAAAGCTGTTCGGGTACCTGTATGACAAGTTAAATATCCTCTTTGTTAGGGCACATGCGTCTTCACGGGCTAGTGCCCTGTTGTCGTCCCGTGGTTACATTAAACATCAGGCTCGGACCAGTTGTCATTTCTTGAAAATTATTTGTCAATTACTTTACCAATACTTTAGTTTGTCTGTTAAAATAATAATACCGTTTGTGTATACCAGTTTGTTTCCTGACATATAAATCGCCATCGCCGTTACATGGATGGACTGCAGACCGCGGTGTGACACCAAACAAATGATGCATAGTGGAGACAAGTATAAATATTACTGTGGCCAGAAGGGGCCATACTACATCACTCACCAACATGTATCATGTGTCAACACGCTATTGCTTGTACGAGCGACAGACAATTACAAGGCTTATGCGTCGCCCGTCAAACGGAATGACAATTATACCCCTGCCTACGCGCATTACATAGGGACATAAATATACATGAAGCGTGAAAACTAAACACGAACCTTTACACGCTTCATGAACATTTATATTTACACCGCACATCAAACTGATTAAATCAACAGAATAATGAAGTGAGTTGATACTTACCTTCGTAGGTATCAGTACTGGAAGCGGCAATATCAGAATCGGGGTAAGAAACAGTATCAGTAATGTCCGAATTCTCCACAGATCCTTAAGTGTTTTGCTCATTGCCATCCTTATGAATTAGTTGTGGAGATATGACAAACTGCTCAATACGATACCTCCTCTTGATGGTATCATGCACAGGGTGCACAACAAGGAAACTCTCTCTGTCCGTTTCTTTCAATTTCGGACTTCAAAACTTATATCACTGTCAACAACGCTAGCTATGTGGGTCGTACGCACAAGCTCGCTGACGGTGTATGTCAAACTGTATATACAACCTGGGAAAGTGGTCACATGACCATTACCCCGGGTATCCGGGAGGAGTAGTGACTGGCTCATTGAACCTGATGAGCATCTTTTCATTATGTGGTTATCATGTGTCAACTGGAAATAAGATGGCATCTTTCTTTATCAGTGAGTTTTCGTGATTATGCAAAGGATTTTGTCGCTTTTATGTAAAAAAATTACAAGCGGTTTCAGAAAAATTCCATTGTACCATGGGTTGATGGAGTAATCTAATGGTTAACGCGAAGACCCTTTACGACCATTCGTGGTGCCCCGCAGTCGTCACATATTGATAACGCGTAAAACCACACTCCTCATTACACTAAAGAGGCTTCTTAAATCAGGGAGCTCGGCTGTCCTAGTCGTGCAAGGAGCCGCAATTCTCTGTGCAGGGTTGCGTCCCTTGGGCACAGTGGAAACCTGTGATTGTGGGTTCGAATCCCCAGTGCGCCCCGATTTCTAGGTTTGTCAGCACCATACCCGTGCTCGTGGTTTTCACCAAAGTGAGACCTGCATCACTTCGGGCTTTCCTCCCACATTAGGCTGACACGTCGTGATATAAATGGAATACTGTTAAAAAAACGACGTTAAACTCGCTCACTTTTAAACCATGCTGCCTTCTCATCCATTGAGAAAAAAGGTGTGAAAAACATGTACACTTTATTGTCATGTTGCCGTCAAACATGGAATACGTTCCATCCACAATTTTTTTTTTTTTAAATATTGTTACCACCATACTGTTTTTATGAGAGTATAATAATCAAAGTCATACGTATTAAAGGAAGGACTGTGAAAGCGTGCGTCACGTTACAATATATATGTTTCACAAATACCTTGACAATGACAAACGAATGTACGTCTTTAGAGATAAAAGTGCTTTAAAATATCTGGCCTTACATACTCTCATGACACAACGATGAATCATCTTTCAACTTCGTGCCCCCAACGAACATGGTGCATACATAACTAGAAAGCATGTGTCATTACGATTGTAACCTGATATGATAAAGATTCAGTTGATGCAATTCTTCCACACGCAGTGAAAACGATATACCTGATATAGACTGCGTTTCCCTCTGATGGCTCTGTCGTTGTTGGGAAATTGTTGCACAATACTTTTTTTCTAAATTGATTCAGTACCTGGCACAGGCAAAGAATTGTTTGAACTACCCGTGGTAATACACAAATAATTTTCAAGTATACTAAAAACGCAGGTCTGAAACGTCTCCTTTATCCTTGTTTATTTGTTGTGCTCCAACGCATCTTCAACAGACAGCCTTGTGAGTGACGTCGTGTGCATCGATCCACGGGGATACCATCGCATGCAATCAACTCATAATATGTAGAGGGTATCATGCCAGTGTGTTTTCGGATGCCTAAGTAAAATCCGTTATGAATCTTCGGCATTATCCTCTTCCGTTTACCTCATCGAAATGTAATGCCCTAATGTAATTGATACAAACTGAACGGAAACGTCTAATTTTGGACTGAAATTCATTTTTGTCTAATCTAAATCGAAAGCAAATTTGGATATATGTAGCATAGAAAATTCCTCAAAAAGAATCATATTCTTCTAAACAATACTCAAGAAAAGTGAAAGAAAATAAGTTGAATGTGCACAGATGTCATATACAATAATAATGGAAAGAAAATGCTGTGTTGTTCTATTGATGATGTTTGAAAGTTTCACATTTTGCATGCATGTCATTGCTTTGACAAAGAAGCACAATAATCTATTCATGCATATGTTTTTGCTATAAAACACGTTGAACATGTGTTAGTCCTTAAGCTGAACTCTCTCTTTTAACGTATTTTGGTATGACGCGGCCTGGGATCGAACACGGATCTTCCGCTCTCCGGGCAGACTCTCTATCACTAGACCACGGTGGCTGTCCCTCATATACGTGGACAATCATCTGAAGCAGGTGACCAAGACGCGTGGGCATAAACATACATCTAAGCACTAATTATAATAAGAATAAACATAATAACATGAGGATAAGGGGTGAGTGAGTATGGTTTTACGCCGCTTTTTGCAATATTCCAGCAATATCACGGCAGGGGACACCAGAAATGGGATTCACACATTGTACCCATGTCGGGAATCGAACCCGACTCTTCGGCCTGACGAGCGAACGTTTTAACCACTTGGCTACCCGACCGCCCCTATAAGGATAAGGATAAGCATAAAGGTTCACTATCTAAATTAATTTTACACTGTCCACTGTCACACTGGCTCATATTGGGGACGAGGATGCGAACCGTAAATATTCATAACAGGGTTCATTGGCACTTACTCAGCAGCTTAAAGGGATGAACTGTAACGAATGACTAGTTGTGCACACTGAGGAATAAAGGTCCCAGTAAGTGAGAAACCAGACAACGCATGCTATAGGCTACATGTGTGTGTAAACCTGTCAAACAGGCAAATAAACCGACAACAAAAAGGTTGAAATGCATTCAAAAGCCGACAATAGTTGTCGTACTGTTGGCTGCTCAAATAAACAGGTCAAACAGGGTATCTTCTCTACACATCAAACATACGCTATGTAGGTCGTAATTGAATCCTCTGCCTTGTATAATGACAGATTGCAAAAGACTGATTCATTATAGCTGAGAGAAATTGCTATTACACGTGTTACTTACATGTGATTAGAACAAAACTGTCAATTTTAACACGATCACGTTGTGAGTTAATGAGTTTAAATGTTACAGTTAAAAAACTTGTCTATTCTTGCTTCACATCATAAGATTAGAAATATATCTGTGCATGATGTGCCGTACGATTTCAATAATTGCCGATTTGTTTGACAATGTTTATTAATGAATACCACGTAACTAGCCACGTAAATAACTGCACTCGGCATATACGTTCCGACAGACTTACATGGGAAGGCTTCATTGTGCTTGTATTAATTAGCCTCGGTGAAGAAAATGATCATTCTACCTTTTCCATCTGGATGATGATCATATACGAAATATCTGACAAAAAGAAACTACCCAATTCACACAACTTCTCTTCAACCTTGTTTCTTGAGCCAAACAGTGTCTTAAATGTAACATAAAGAGCCCGGAAGGCTAGGTAGCTCACTACAATTGGATATTCATATGAAAGGTTATGACACTGAAGCTCAATTATTGCCCCAATAATTTGCAAAGATTCCGTCACTATCAGGCTAATAACCCAGCTACCTGTTACTTTCACTAACACTGTGGTGTGGCACCATGACTAATAGTTCACACTGTGTTTAAGTTCAGAACAAAATAAGATTATAGATCCTATCCTTGACCAAATGATCTTTAGTTACGAAAAGAATAACAGGCGTTACGTAGGTGGACAAGAGGTATAGCATCATGGTATACTACATTCGCTCCTTCATCTTAATAGTCTCGCAGAATCTCTTCGAACCTGCAACACAGATTAGCTAAATGGCGATGCAATTCGAAGGAGTTATCGGCATGATGTTGATAGCGAATCATGTTGATAAAATTGCAATGAATACGTGACACTTATTCTTGGGATAGCAATTTCGTTTATTCTTTGTCACGACGTTTCAGAGCATTTTCTTTCTCAACCCCCAAAAGTGCGAGAATCTGTACTTTACTAAAAAAAAGTGTTATCCCAAATATTACATTAGTTACATTTGACCATTTCTAAATGGCATTGTGTATTCATAACTTCTTTCTCCCTCATCAGATTAATGCTGAGTAAGTGCATGTATATAAGTAGCTCAGAACAAAAGAAATTGCTACATGTTTACACAACGCAAGGTGAGATGAATTTACAAAGATAACAATAGAATGACAAAGCCAATGAGTTCATCATCCTTTCGTTTGCCCTAATAATGTGGATGAAAAGTCATTTAACAATCATTGCAACACTGATCTTACCATATACTACCATAGATTTTCCAGTTGATGAAAACATATTCGAGACAGCCAATAAGTAGTATGCTGAAGGATGAGTTATATCAGTCTAGCAAATTGAGGAGGTAGATTCCATCCTGTAGAGGGAATAAATTCTTTTTAAGACAAAGGAATGTAAAACGAGTTCAATAGCAAGGGAATATGGTGTAAAATGGGTTTTTTCGATTAGATCACAGGTGCGAGACTGGGGATGCGTCATGTTATTCGATGATAGTAGATATTGCTTGTACAGAAATGATGGTCGCAAGCGAGTATACAGACGAGTATAACGTTAAGCGCTAAAATGCGTCAAAAAAAGTAAAACCGTTTGAAGGCGGTAGCGTCATGGTCTGGGAAGGAGGTATCTGCAGTGAGGCTCGTTTTTATGCAGGGAAACCAGAATGCCCAGAGTTATCCCGATGAAGGTTCGAGACCCGTTGTGCAGGTATCCGACCTCAATTCAGGGGCTCAACAGCCTTTGTAACCTCATTCATTGAATGCTGTATCATAGCAGCAAAGTTATTGGCATAAGGGTAATTGTTGTTGGAGGATCCCTTTGTGAGGAATGTAATAACGCATTGAATGCTGCCCATGACAGGAAATCATCGTCATCCAACTCTTGTTTTCCCAGTACGTGTTACAGCCGCTTGTACATCTTGGGTGAAAGGTCCTTTTAAATGAGGCACATAATGACCCTGTCTTGGTACAGAACCTGTTGGATGTTCCATTAGTAAAATGCTGGTACCATAATAATGAATTTATTGCTGTTGTAAAGATGAGATTATGACCGATGAGACTTTTGGTTGACATACGGCACTGTTGGCTATATCTATTGAAATACACAAGGCATGCACACGAAATACACAGATCCATATTGTGAAAATGTGTAAACAATATCGCGTTTTCTTGTTAAATCCCAAGTAAACTGGGACTGGCGTTTCCCGGTCCCTGTGGTGTCTTTGTGTTGACGGTGCCCCGAGATTTCTCGCGTTGAAGACGTTCTGAGATATTTTGGGACTGTGTACCTCTTGTTGAGGATTATATCTCTATAGCTGGTCCAACGAAATATCAGACTCATTAGAACTTTCAAGGA